TAGGACAGACAGATAGATAGATAAGGACAGAGAGAGGAAAAGGGGAGAGGGGATAAAGATAAGAAAACAGACAAGCAAGAGGAATACAGAGACGAACACAGCCACACATTGAGAAAGAAAGAGAGAGAAAAAGACAGGTCGGGAGACAGGCATTCAGACAGACAGAGGCAGAAAAGCATGTAAAATATCTCTATTTATATCGTACATGTATTGGTAAAAATATATATAATAATCTAGGAATAGACACTTCAGATCTATGAGAAACAGACGAAAGCGTGACATAAAAAGAAGTGATATTTACCCGTGTGTTGACCACTTTGAAGGTACACTTGTAGATGATGGCCGCCTGTAACACACACCTTGTAGACGATGGCAGCCTGTAACACACACCTTGCTCCTAAGTCCAAAAAGGGGGGAAAGTACGCACAGCAAACTCAAGTCCATGCGGCAAGCAAAACTTTTTCCGAGATAATAGTCCAATCTGAATGGAGAAACGCGCACCGAAATTACCCTGTCCTGCTGCTGCGAACACAGAGGTAGATTCACTGCACTCTGTACAGAAAAGAACGCAATATCCACGAAAAGAGGACTTGAGGAGTAGTCGTGGCAACAAAGTAATGAGAACACTACAAGTGCTTTACAACACGATATAGCAGTAAATTAGACTGACTTGGAGACGAAATCTTGAGATTCGCGAGTAGAAGAACACAAACTTCCGCACACAAGGGTAAATCTACCAAGATAGCATCCACTTCACCAAGACGAGAATGGAAAGAAACGAAAATCGCTGCGTTCGTATCCACGCGCCGCTGGCAAACTGATGGGTTTCGGTTGTCCCGTGTAGCCAAATCAAGGCAGTATCGAGGCCTCAAGACGGAGGAAAACGATAGCGTTCTTACAGCGAGGTTCGCCGCTTTTGTGTACTGGGGAGGCGGGGCTTAATGGGGCACGCATCGAATCGCGCCGCGGCTTGGGGGAGAGGGGAGGCGCGCGCACGGCGGTGGAGAGGGCGCGAGGGCGGAGACGCTGATGCTGATTGGCTGAATCGGGCCGGGTGGAGTGTCAGTCAAAAGATTCGTAGCGTAACAACAAAACCACGTGCTTGGTGTACGGCGGGGAAGCGGAGGGAGACGCGTGATGGAGAGAGAGGAGGAAAGAATAGGGGGGACATAAAATTGAACACAAAAATGGGGGCGGAGGAAAGGAATTTGTAAATGCGAGTTCTCTGCACAGGGTTTATGAGTTTATGAGCGTGCGCCCCGTGTGTGTGTGTGTGT